CATCGAAAACATTTAAAGTTCCAAACGGGTGATCACGTTTTCCTAAAAGTTTCACCGTTACGAGGTATTCGTAGGTTTAGAATTAAAGGTAAACTTAGTCCGAGATATATTGGACCTTTCGAAATACTGGAACGAGTTGGAGAGGTGGCGTATCGCCTAGCGTTACCTTCTCAACTTTCACATATCCATAACGTTTTCCATATCTCGTCACTCCGCGGATATCATTATCACTCTCTCCATGTGATTGATTATCCGTTGGACAAAGTTGAAAAAAATCTCTTTTATATTGAAGAACCAGAGGCGATAATTAATCAAGAAGAGAGACAAATGCGACGAAGGTCAATATCGTTCGTTAAAGTGTTATGGCGAAATCATTCTGAGCGAGAAGCCACATGGGAAACGAAAGAATCTATGCGAAAGGAATACCCTTATCTATTTGAGTCATGTAAATCCTCTAACTTATCTAAATTTCGAGGACGAAATATTTTTTTAAGAGGGAAGGATTATAATATCCGTGTTTCGTTAAATCGTACAAACTGGGTTAAGTAAATTTTTGGTAGAATTATGCATAACATATTTGTACCCTATGTTATACCAACTTGTACTTCAGACGAGTTTTGCGTCAAAAATGAGTTTATATCTAATTTAACGTAAAAGTTGAGAATCTAACTTGAAGGGTTAAAACCGCCAATTGGTTAAACTTTATATATATATATATATATATATCAAAAGAAAATTAAAAAAAATATAAAAATATGTATATGGATGCAAAAGAGGCGGTGATATTCACCGTCTTTCTCAATTCTCAATCTCTCGTCTCTTTTTCTCTCTCTAAAATTCTYTCKTYTTCTCTCTAAATTTCACGTCRAGTTACTAAGGGGATCGAGGTAACAAATATATATTYGRAATCCACTCTACGAACTCTTCTTAAAGGTATAAGTTTCATTCAGTTTCATTAAGGTGTTTATTTTAGGGTTATTTAGACCGGTTTATAAACTGTGTTTATATCTAAGTTTACGGATTGATATTGTCAAAATCATGATATATATTTGATGTTTAGAATGCTAGAACTGGTTATATTGATGTAGAAATGAAAAGGGTATATTATAGTTTCATTATGGATAGATTGTGGGTATATGTTTAACCGTACACCAATTGTTCGGTTAAATGTCGAAAGGAGTAAAAATGCATGATTAAGATTAGGTTAACGACCATTGGACTTGTTTTACTATTTAGTATGTTGAAGTACGTTTATAGTATGTAAATTAGCGAATCATGAAAGTTGGATCATAAAAGTTAGTCGGAAATTACGGAATCGACTTTTACCGACAAAGCAACTCCCGTACTTTGACAGTGTATAACTCACAAACCGYAAGTCRGATTAAGCTCGTATTTTGCAGTCAGGAAGATCATACTGCATACTACAACTTTCATTAAGGGTCAAAATTCCAGTTATGAMTYTAGGTGRCTCGAAACAGTGTGTTTTTGGGGCTGTTTACACTGTATTCGGTATTAATTTACAGTTTTGTAAAATTCATATAAAATATATGGATGATCCAAATGAGATGATTTCAAAAGCAATAGACTCGTATGTTACCAACCTACAACTTTTATTTAAACAATATAATCTGGATTGGTCTCTAAGTAAGATAAAAATGCTTAGAAATAAGAGGGTCGGAAACGGTTGGATCGAAAGAGAATAAGGTTAACTTTTTACGTTTGAGTTTCAATTCTTATCAAGTACATTAAGACCTAAGTAAATTTATTAGAATAGTTATATTATGGTTTCTATGCTTTATAAATAGTAACCGTTTGTGCATTCGTTAGGCACGCGGATAAATCAAACTTGATCGTGAATGTCCGTTGGATCGTGCGTTAATTGTCAAATTTGGTTAAGGTACGGATTCCATATCTCACTTGACACGGGGATAGCCATTTGCGTAAGGCTTCCTAATCCGGATAATCTGTGATAAACTCCGAATAATTTGTTCTGAATTTCCTTTATACTTATCAAATGTTATTGAACTTTATTTCCTTTTGAATTACGACTTATATTCTTATTCGGAATATGGATCATTTTGATCACTTGACTTGTTTTATTGCTTCATTTGTGAAACATTTTACTATAGACTCAATAACTGGAGCACCGGTATTGAGATGTTTCCATGGTGACTAAAACGATCATGGCGTCCTTATTTTTATAAGTCCTTAAAAGTGGACTTGATTATGTACCGGTCGAATAGAGGGCGCATGGATCGATCCTAGGAACCGTTATCGGATATTGAATTATGGTCGTGGTTAAATCCACGGAGAGGATTGCTGTGTTGTGCTCACACCCCTTTCCTCACTTGTGCCTGAATGGACTGATCATCCTTTGGGAACAATGCGTCCTCGTGATGCGATTTGGTCTTCGAACCCTTGATATGCTTTCGGGACATTTTGACTTTCTTTTGGATTATCACTTGGCGTCATAAATTGTTTTTGAACTTGTTATCTCATATTCATAGTTTATTTATATTATTATCCGTTCACTGAGCATTAAGCTCAGCCGAGATTTTCTTGTCCTCGGCAGGTACATGACTTAGTAGGGATTTTGGGATGAGAGCTACGGAGATGATAATATTGAAGATAACTCATTAAGTCATACTTTTGTTAAACTTTTAATGACTATGTAGATATACGGGTATTTTGGAACCGTATTTTGAGACACGTTATCTTCGTCTGTGGTTATGTAATTATCTTTTGGTAAATTTTATTAGCTGCTCTGGTTTATATAGCGCGTTGTGTTTATCCTAATTGTGGCATCTCCCGTCTTTGACCACGCGGGACGGGGGTGTTACATGGTTATTAGATGTTTTGTGTTACGTGTTAATAATAATAAAATAGTTACATATACCTTGAACCACTTCCATCTTCCACCGGAGTCCGCAGGAATCAGGTTCAGGTTTCTTAAACAAATGTGGATGTAATTTTAATATTACACTACAAACTCTCCTAAAAACTCTGCTAATGGTTTCTCCCGAACGATGAAAACAACATGCCATTACCCGATTCTTAATGTGAAGAAAAATGACTTGTTCATCAATACCCATATTCCTACTTGCTTGTAATCCTTCTAAAGTTTCAAGCATATTACATAACTTACTAAAATACCTTCTATTCATCCTAAGATGCGATATGCAAATAATATCATTCTCATAAGCATACCTATGTAATATTAAATATCGATCCACATTTAACAAAGAATATCGAATACGTGATTTATCCGTTTGGTAGTGGGCTATTAATTTGAAAATCATAGTCAAATACCAAACGATAGAAATCATAGCTTCGTTCCATAACAATCTAATAAGCCTACGTCTACGTGTTGTTGCTAAAGTAAGTCGGGTCATTTCCTGTTCCAATGAATAAAAGTTATTAACAAAAGTCATCCCGACAGCAGCATTGTATACATATATACATAGTCCCCATATAAAAACAGATATGAAATAACAATAGCTTACAGTAGCATTCTATACATATATACACAGTCCCCATATAAAAACAGTTATGAAATAACAATAGCTTACAGTAGCATTYTATACATATATATACACAATCCCCATATAAAACAGTTATGAAATAACAGTAGCATATATACATATATACACAGTCCCCATATAAAAACAGTTATGAAATAACAGTAGCTTACAGTAGCATTGTATACATATATATACACAGTCCTCATATAAAACAATTATGAAATAACAGTAGCATTATATTCATATATATATATACACACACACACAGTCCCCATATAAAAACAGTTCTGAAATAACTTTAGCTTACAGTAGCATAGTTCAAGCAGAAATAATAGTTCAAGCATTGGTGATAGAAACACCAATTCAAGCAAAAATAACAGTTCAAGCAGAAATAACAGTTCAAGCATAGTTGTTGGACCATTCTTGTATGAATTGAATGCCCTTACAGAAGCAGAAGCAGTTCATTGAAGTTTGTCTGTGTTGTACAGAAGCAGAAGCAGTTCATATAAGCAGAAATAACAAGTTCATATAAGCAGAAGCAGTTCTTATATGAATTGAATGCTCTGTTCATAGAAGCAGAAGCAGTTCATAGAAATGGAATATCGGAGCAGTTCATAGAAGCAGGCCAATGGAGTGAAAATGACGCCTTAAGAAACAGAAGCAGTTCATAGAAGCAGAAATAACAGGTTTTAAAACAGGATAGAAGCAGAATAGAAGCATAAATAACAGTTTATAGAAGCATAATAAAAGCAGAAACAGTTCATAGAAGCAGAAATAACAGGTTCGTAAATGAGAAATAAGAAATGGAAGCAGTAAACAGGTTCATGTTTGAGAAATCAGAAATCGAAGCAGAGATAACAGATTCATAGAGAAATCAAAAATCGAAGCAGTAAACAGGTTCGTAAATCATGAATCGAAGCAGTAAACAGGTTTTGATTTGAGAAATCGAAGCAGTAAACGGGTTCAGGTTTGAGAAAACATGTTCGTAGATGAGAAAACCGACCTTTGATCGATGAAAGCAAGCAGTATGCAACGATGAAAGCAAGCAGAAAGCGTTCGAAGATCGATGAAAGAAGCAGTATGCAACGATGAAAGCAAGTGTTCAAGCAACGATGAAAGAAAGCAGCGACTAGGGTTTAAAAGAGGAATGAGGATATTTATGTCATTAAAACACTTTTTGATATAATGGAGTTCAATTCCATCATATTTACTAAGGAACGGTGAATTCCTCAAATCTTCGAAATTTAATTTCATTCCATGAGCAACCAAACGTTAGAATGAAATTTGGTCAACAGAATTAACCATTTCAATTCCATCCGATTCTGACGAACCAAAGGCCCTCTAAGGTTCTTGTTTAAGAACTTGAAGAAAATAAGGTTCTTATAAAAACTCTCTACAATGGTAATTCAAATATTCCTATTTCATTTTTTGCTAATAATAATCTTGCATTTCCTAAAAATAAGTAGGGTACACATTAAATCAAGAATGATTGAAGATAACTGTACTTTTTAAGTGCTGAATTTACATCTCATAGTAAGAAAAGAAACACAAAACTGATTTACAGAAGAAAAAAAAGATGAAAGGTGATTAGTGATGTGTTCATATATATATATATATATATGATCACTACCATCTTACTCACTGAATCTATGTCTGAATTTGAATTTGTTGAGGTTTTTACAATAAAAATTACAAAACAAAAAGGTATCATCATCAAAGAAGGCTGCACCAAAACATTCTGACTAGAGCTACTTTCTTTTCTTTTCTTTTTCTTCTACATCAAAGTATAGGCTGATCACAATGTTGGCATCCATCTCCAATCTAAAACCATGATGGACCAAACCCTAATCCCTCCCTCCTTTTAATCTCCCGATATATATTTTCTCCCTTCGTAAAACTTCTTCTCGCTAGCTTCCTTCTTCGCATTCCGCTTCTGCAAAAGTTACGCTAAATTCAGTCCCAATTTCCAACATTTTCGTTAACAAAGCAACAGTGATCCCTCGAGAATAGCTCAACAAGTAACACCTTGGGTCTCACTGGTTAGACTAACCCCTATGGACCACTGAAGGTTTGACCCGTTGTTAACTTCATAACCCTTGGGATCAGTTGAAATGGGCGCAAGTTGGCTTGTACACCCACTGTTGTCCCATGAGACGTGTTTGTTACAACTTGCAAAGTGAGAGAATTTAAAATATAAGGTACCTCATAGATTTCATGATTAGCCTTTATTCGTTGAGCTACGGAGGTGGTGGTGATGTTTTTTGGACTCTCGAGCATTCTGAAGATACCCATGCTTTTAGGGACTGAATATGGATCTAGCTCGCCCTGTAGTAATGGGAAGTGTGGGTGTGTTAGTGTATTGGACTCGGGAACGTAAGGATGTGAACCAAAGGTGTGTAACTTACGTTGAGAGAGGACTTGCTCTCGGAAACTGTTCCGTGCACAACCAATGAGATGTCGAAAGTTGTAATCTGGTCATGTCAACGAATTTGTAGTAGTAAGATAGATACACAATCATAGACACAACACACTGATATCTAGGTATACAACTTTAAATGAGATTTTAATTAAATTCACGAACTTCTGATGAGTATAAAGCCATGTTTCTTTTAATAGGTCAGAAGGTCATGAATTTAATTAAAATCTCATATAATGTTATATACCAAAATGACCACAGCACATATATATCAATAGCTACATACAACATTCGCATGATAAAGTACTCCATATCATGAAAATAGCAAAATATTCACAAAAAACATTCTCTTTACTCCTCGGAGGCGACATGGGTTATTTAGGCGGCCTTCTTGCGTTATAAATAGGCACCCTTTTGTTAGACAGTGGTTGCTTAAATCTATCTGGAGTTTATGCATTTAAAACAAGATCTGCCAGAAGACCATTCTCCTAAATGAACCCATTGGAACAGAGGGTAAAGTCTATATACATCTTACGGTACCCTCCCTAGATTCTACACCATGTGGGATTTTTAGTTTGGTTATAAGTGAATAATTTTCTAAACTATATGCAAAAGTTTAGTAATGAAATTTTCATGGGATGGGGGAAAACAAAGATAAGAGACCACACAAATATAATCCCTTCATCCCATGAAAATTACAATATTTTCCTTTTCGAAACATCCAAAAGAACTTGCAATTGTTCCTTTGCACAAAGTTTTAACATTGAAATTACATATATGCCCATTTATCATCTTTACAAATAAACGTATGGCATTGGCACGAGACGGTGAGATTCCTCTATTATGTCTAATATTGAGGAGTACCTGCATATAGTCGAAAAACATCCTTGAACTATGTGTCAAATTAAACAAAGATCTAGCGAAACTATATAAATACTTGTGGCAATAGTTTCTTCTCTTTTTGGGGTACATACACCCCCTACAGGCACGTATCCCACCTCCGAGTTGGTTTAAACTATATAAGAACTTATGACACTAGTTTCTTTATTTTCTTTGTTCTGGTCTATTTCTCTTGGTGAAATAAACAGTTGTTCCATGATTAGTTCATCACACTTAAAACAGAAGGAAACAAGTGATGTGACATACCATGTCCTTTGTGATCTCCCAAGGAGCACCGATGATGACTTCATCCACATACCGACAGGCCAAAACACCAAGACTGCGTTCATGCAGATGCATAAGGGGGAAATGAGCCCCACGCTGTTCGCTGCATCAAACACAAACTTGTTATTTCCAGTAATTCCTTCAATTAATCACCAATAAGGAATGAGAACAACAATGTGTAACATTCAATAAATCATATTTACCTCACAATTTGATCGGTATAAATACCCACAAGAAGAAAATCCCCAAGTTGTCGAGCACTCTTCAAAATCTAAATACATAAAAAAATTACGTCTAATTAACAATCATTGTCAATGCCGGTGAAAGTAGCTATTATCGAAACCCACGAGGTGAGGTGAGGACGTTAAGATTTGCATAATTCAAGATTACCAAGAGAAATAGAACCATAAGTCAAACAATGGCCATGTTTGACAACCATAAGCTGCTTATTTTTTGAGCTTATTGAAAGAGCTCTGTTTGGTAGGCCATAAACTTATAAGCTAGCTTTTAGAAAAGATACTTCAGATAGATTTCAGTAAGCTTCAAGGGGCTTTTTTCACTTTTTCCAAGCTCTGCCCCTTGTATGTTAGAATTGATTTTTATAGATCATTTTACTGCTAGTTTTTACTAACCGTAATTAGTCTAACAGCTAGTTTGCCAAAAGTGTTCCCTCTGCCCCATAAAAAAGGAATAACTTTTGATTTTAGGGTAAAATAGTATTTTTCCAATTAATGGAGGTAGTACCACATTCTGCACATATCCTTTGTATCTTCTAACTATGCCTAGTTACTTTTATTAGTGACCACTGCACTCATACTTCAATATTTAATTTACACAGTTATTCCATCCTTTCTGTTTCGTATTAATGGCCTTTTAGTTTCGTATTGTCCTTGCTAAACTAATCATCTTTATAACATGTACAATGCTTAGTGGTACCGCATCAGAAACAACGTTAAGAGATGGAGAAAACGAAACCTGGAAATAATCATCTATAACTAGGGAGAAGATAGAGGAAGCTTTACGTAAGTTGTAGATCATTTGATTAGCTAGAATGTGTAGTATCTAACCACATGGGGTTCATGAAAAAGATGTGAATGGACTCGAGTTAACCAGCAAATGAACATAAATACATACCCGACAACCAATGGCCCCACATAACAGCTTCACTACTCACGATGTGGGATACTACAATTTCACTGCTTAGCTTCTCTAAACATCATCTCTATGCAAAAACAATACACGAACCTTCCATTTGCATTGTAAGCATCCCCAAGATACCAAACTAAGCCTTAGTTTCCCGAAACTGTGGCCCAAACTTGCACTGATCACCTCAAATAAATAATACCCATATTAAGCAGCAGGCAACTTATGGGAACCTATCTTCTTTTCGTATATAGGAGTTTGGAATGTTTTAAAATGAGAAGGTTATAGAGGAAAATGTTAAAAGGGGATGCCTAAATTTGACAAAATTTAGAAACTAAATGGTTTTAATCCATTTATTTAAATGAATGCTACAACAAGAAATGAGTGCTTTGTGTTTATACTGATCATTAACATTTCCTCTTTAACTATTGATTTAGGCATAGTGAGTGGTAAAAATGCAAAACTTCTGACATCTAGCATCTATAACACATTTGTAGCATCGAAAACTCATCTAAATACATAACCAAAAGCTGTAGCAGATGAAATCATGAAAAGATCCCACAGTTTTATGCAACTATCATAATGGGCATGGGCAGAATTGTTATTGGGGCGATATAGAAGTGGCAGGTGCTTTTCAATGATATGATGATGAAAAACTGCTGATCACATCATAAGGTGGTAAAGGAAAGTTAAAAAACAATCAAAATTTAGTTAAAGGACAAACAACACCAAAATATCCAACATAGTCACATACCTCGACATGCCCAGCATGAAAAAGATCAAATGCTCCATCAATGTACACCACACGTGCATTTGGTCCAGGCCCCTAAAAATAAAGTAAACAACATTTTTCTTAGAATATATCTTCAAGTTGGTAAGGGCGGGAATGGGTAAAATGGAACAGCAAAACTAAATCTACTGCCTTGAAGCCACCCCTCATAACTTGAACAGGGCAATCACCAAAAGAGAATAAAAACCCAAATAAAACCAAATGAACCCAGTAAATCCCACGCGAGATAGGGTCTGGAGAGGGTAAGATGTACTTAGACCTTACCTCTACCCGAGGAGTAGAGAGGCTTTTTCCATGACGACCCACGATTTGCAGAACAAATAGATATAACAAGTGATTAAGGTATAGGTGAGTCCCCAAAAGAGGATGTGCACTTGAAATCTCTTGCAAATAGTTCCGATTTATTATACAGGAGAAGCAGCTCTCAAGGAACAAATTAATAAATGAGGCTCATCACAGAATATTGTTGATGCCGTTGTGGAAAACTATAATGCAAGATGGACTTTAAGAGGAGATGCAAGACGGTTTAAGAAAGGAAGGATTTGGAAAAAGCAAGAAAGGAACTTGTTTTCTAGGGCTTCATAGTATCCCTTTGGTGGGACGCAAAACCCCCTGGATGAGAATCCTAAGAAATCCTGAGGTTCAAAGAGTGATTGCCCACAAATCCCAACTTCCTATCTTAACTTTCCAATTTCTTGCCCTGAATTACCCAGCATCAATTGTTGTTCACTCAATGAGCCATCAAAGTAACATTTCGATCTCAATATGGTTGTCCAAAATAGCTGTTTAGGCTTTGTTCTCACTAGAAAAGAGATTGACTATTGGGACTGAGCTGAGACATATTCATACAGGAAGAGTGCAATTTGCTCTAACCTTATGTGCCACACAAGGGAATCATGGGAGAGGGCTGTTATGCATAGATTTAAAGTTAGGATGTCAGAAAATCGATGTGGTTCAATGCCAACAACTATTTGTGGATTAGAAGACTCATAGAAACATATTAAGTCACATATAATGGATTTGAATATGTTTATCAATCTAGAAAATACATACAATTTGATGTCAATGACAATGACCAGGCAAAACTCTTGAAAAGGAAGAATTGCCTATAATGCATAGTCATATTAACTTGGTTTAACATATACACCATGGCATAGAAACAAGCATGAAAGCAAGTGCTAGTGAAACAAACGTTTAGCCTATTATTACTGAATCAGTTTTGAATCCTCGACTTTTTGCTTTAGTTATAGATGAGTTTGGGCATACAATACAATATGCCATGGTGTTCTTTTAACTAATGATATCATGTTGATTAATATTCTAGGTAATGTGCCCATGCAAAGTTTGAGGCATGGTGAAACAAATATTGGCATCTTAAAGGTTTTACATCAAGTTGTGGCCTAAAAACAAAATACATAGTGCAACTTCAGTGGTACTGATGGAGATGCAAGAGTAAGATTTCCTAACACGTAGTTAAAAAATACATCTTTAGTTAGTTCAGTAGTTTCATTCCTTCTACTAAGCTTTTAATGTCTTTGCATGTTTTTCGTTTTTGTTATCAATTATTTGTTCTTGTTACTTTTTTCTCAACTCCCCTAAACTCTTTTTCTTTCTTTTATTTCGTTTGCCTTCCTTTCTTTCAAAATTCAGCCAAAATGTTGAAACATCTTTTTCTCACAAAATCTTTTACCATAACTCTTTTTTAGATCCTCATAGAAACAGTCTCTCTACTCTTTAGGGTAGAGGTAAGGCTTGCGTACATCCTACTCTCCATAGACCCTTCTTCGTATGAGATTTACTAGGTTCGTTTGTTTTGATGTAGCAGGAATGAGAAAGAAAATTGTGTAGCCACAAATTAGAGGATAGTCCATATGTAAGGATGAACCTCAACTGATAGAGGAGAAACTGAGATAACACCATCTCCAATGGTCTGGCGATTTCGTATAAATCTTTGAATTCATGCATTTGAAAAAGAGACTTGGACTAAGAAGAGGACGCCAGGAGAAGTAGAAGACAGCTGGCATTAACATGGGTAGGTAGTGTAGTGTAGATTTGAGTTAGTGGATTACACCAAATAAAATTACCTTACCCAGGAGTATCATACTGCGTAGACAAATGGTAGTCATGCTTCAAACCTAGGATTCCCTCTTCATACTTTCTATCAGGGATTCATTTTTAGTTCACTCCAACTAGTTCAAGATAAAAGACTCGTTAATTTTGATGTGTTTGAAATTATATAATAGCTGTGTAGCACAAATCTGCAGTACTGGTGTTTGCAGTAAAAAAAATCAGCATGATTATCCGCCTTAAACTATCAAACATTGTACACTATATCTGGTGCCTCTGCTTCTACCTCCATGTCGAATCCCCATATCAGGTGCTTTTGGGCTGCTCATACCAAACTGTTGACCATGGATTCATAGGGATAAGAGATGGGGATAGACAAGTAGAAAATTTAGTCCCTTTATTCAAAGAAAACGTGATAACAGTTTACAATTTGCAAAATGAAAACAGAGAGTAAAATGAAATAAAAATGAGCTTTATGATTGTAAAAAAGAAAATAAGGTGATCGACAACTTATTTTATTTTATACTTTGAACTGATATCTATACACATACACTAGTTAAAAAGTAAAAAAATGATAAAGACTTAAGTTTTAGTGTTTATTTTTCTTATATATCTAATTAATAAATCAAAAAATAAGTTTAAATTCCATTGATTTGGTCTTATCAGTGTGTGTATATATATTCATATACACATAAATGCACCAACAGATTCAGTTTTTATCTAATATTTCCGGTATCATGTATCATGCACCCTTCTCCTTATACCCATATCCTTCCAACATAATGCAGTCCCCAAGTGAATACTCCAAATAGCCTCAGCAGAGCTTATTCTAGAGCATATAAAATCCGTGCCACCAGTCTCTATCGGTCTTCAATTAACTAGTTTCCTATGGATGTCACCTAGCTCTAAAATATATCCTTACAAATATCATGAGTAACAAGTACAGCAGTTTATTCCAATTATATCCTATCAAATTCCATAACTTCTATTATTTCAGCTACAATATTAAAAAGCTATATTTCCTTAAGGTTTACAAGTGAATATGCGCATCAACTACATGGCTTCCCTTCATGTTTGAACGCAAGAGTTGTCATCATAAATTGGATCTACAGCAAAAACGCACACTTATATATGCATATCATCTCATGTTTTCTGAACATGGTTGGCAATGAGTGTATTGCAATAGCTATATAAATCCAATGATCATAAGACCTATCACACTTGACTTTTATTTGGGTAAGCTACGACCTACGGGAACACATTGAATGTTCGTATCAACTGAATAGTTGTGCCAACTATAAAATGGTGATGCTTGTTTCAGATGGGAATTTGAACCATCCTCTTGTCCTTTCTCCGAAGTGAATCTTTAACATTCTAAATACTTGGCTATATATTAAATGATGATCTAAATTCATACAGTTTCCACTGAAGGTATATGAACATGAATAACAAGCGTACAGTAAGCAAAAGAACAAGCACTAATTGAGCTTGAGACTTGAATAATGGAAGGGAATACGGTACCTTGGCATTTGAAAATTGCACAATTCTCCTTGATGTAGGCAGAAAATTAGAAGCATGTTTAGATTTTAATAGATTTTCCACACTTTTGTTCATTTCAACAGGTTTTCCATTCTGTGATGATTCCTTTGGAACTTGACATACTTCCTTATCGTCCATTGAAGCCAGTATTCTTCCTGCGTGATAAGTGAAGATGTTGCACTCAATGAAAAACTTTTACAAGAAACGTGCAAACACACATTGAATGAATTCAAAATCCAATCATCAATCAAGAAACGGGATTTCCATAAAAAGGAAGGCATTAAAATCCTCCCCTTTTTTACTAATTAAATTTTGCTGAATGCAGTATGAGTTAGTTGCAGTACCTACAATGTCTGTGCTGGAGACGCCCTCCGTGCGTTTGATCTGCTTGTAGCGACCAACTTTCTTTGCGAGGGCATATGCATCACTTCCATCAGGAAGTAGGCAAGGATCATCACCATGTATAATATAATCAATCTTATGCTCATTAAAGAGACGGTTCATAAAATCTTCAGTAATGGCATACGGTGCATTAGCAATGACTTCATCCACCCACTTCAATCCACTAACGAGAGCCAGCCTAGAAAGAATTAACATTAAATTATAAGTAAATGAATTATCGAAATCAAAAGACCTAAGAATGTGCGTGTGGGAGATTTACAATGAGATGAAGTATCTTTATTTGGGAAGAGGGATGTTGAATTTAACTCCATATTCCCCTCCAATTTTACCTCCCAAGAAAGAAAAATTTCGAGGAAAAGGAAATTCTAGTCCAAAACCCAGATTGACCAAGATAAACATCCTATCAAACAAATTTAAACTTGTATACCCCTCTAAACGCGCAACCACTATAAAAACCGCTTTCCCATCCACATAATCCAGCACATACCACTCGGAGGCAGGGTCCAGTGAGGGTCGGATGTATGCAAACCTTCCTTTACAACAAAGGGTAAAGCGGTGTTTTCGTGAAGACCCCTGGTTTGCAAAAAGGTGTGTACAAAAATTCCCATCCACAGAAAATATAGACATTAATCCTAAACATATGGATGACCTCCTAGTTTATGGATAGTTTAATAGATCCTTACATTAGTAATGAGTTCGGCATTTCAATATAATGGCAAGAAAGTATATATACATGTCAAAGAAAGGGTATATACCTCTCTTCCATAGATAAAACAGGCGGGCCCTTGTTCGTTACGATTTCCTCATCACTTACAAGTCCGACCACCAACTCATCACCCAAAGCTTTAGCTTGCCTCAAAGCATTAGCATGCCCATAATGCATGAGATCAAAACACCCATCCATGTAAACCCTAATCCGTTTCTTTCCTCCTTTTTTCTTCTGTAGATTTCTTAAGTAAGGTAACATATATGGCAAAGTAGGAAACCCCATTATACCACCAAAATAACTCGTCGATAAACCAAGCAATGCAGCTGTTAGCATAATGCCACCAAATAGATGTGGGTAGTAGCATACCCCATCCCAAGTGGAATTATTGCTCTCATATTCCATATTGGCTCGCTGCTAGGGCCTCTGAAGCCCTCTTTTAATGCAGTAAGAGGAGACACAAACCCTGCAAAATGAAGGAATCACCAAAACTACACAAGAAAATGAAATCAAATAAATGAATTGCTTAAATCCATCAAATAACACTCATTTTAGCCATGTTAAAGTGTGATCCCGATATCTAGAAGACGGAATTAATCAGAAATTTAAGCAAACAGCTGGCGTCCACCAATTTTTCCCAACACCACCCAAAAGAAACATCAATTGAACTCGAATTCAAGCAGCATTTCTCACACCGAGAAAGAAGCAAACGCATCAGAAGAAGGGGAATTCACCATATTGGTATTAAAGACATTCAAACACATCCAAATGTTCAAGATATGAACTTTTTTGTAAGATGAGTGGAAATCTAAATGAGCCGAAAAATCCCACACGAATATCTATTAAAATAAACCAAATATCATGCAAAGCGAAGAGCAGATAACAAAAATCAGAGAAACAACTACCCAATTACGATCTGAAAATGTTTGAATTACCACAAATGATCTAAAGATTAAAGAAACGAAGTTTTCCTTTTCGCTGAGATGAGATGAGATGAATCAAAAGGAGAGAGGTGGTCGCGTTACATTTGGTCAGATCGAATCTGATGAATGATTACCTCTTGTGTTGGAATTCGTGTCTCCTTGCGCTCTTTCTCTCTCTATCTCTCTGTTCTTTTCTCTGCTAGTGGGATTGAAGGATCAATTGAAAAGGCGCACGAAAGAAAGGGTCCCCTTTGATAGATACCACGGACACGGAGTGTAAAGGGTAGGTATCAATTCCCTTCTCTCCCCCACATTTTCAAACCAAAACTTGTAAACTAAGAAAAACTTGGATATCGAAGTCAGGAAACCAAAGATCATCTTGGACATACGGAAAATATGCGACTTTGTTTATTCAATTGTTTATTGTATTCTTCGTCTTATGTTGGACCAATCGTTTCTTTAATTTTGTTAACATCAATTAAAATATGTCAAATAAATAAAATTAAACTCATAGGGTGTTCGAGATTGCTTATTTGAAACAACTTATGTTTATCTATAAAAGTCTTTATCAACTTATTATAAGTTAAAATGGTTTAACTTATTCAAAAACTTTTTATTACCGTTTTGGCACCGGTATAAGTTGTTTATCCAAACACTCAAAAGTGTTTATTACTGGTGTCATATCGAAATAAGTCAATAAGTTTTTTTTATAAGCAATTTCAAACACTCCCTAAATTTTATTTTATTTTTATTTTTAAATTTTGTTTGAAGGATTAAGAATCTGATATTTGATGTTTGGGAAAACTTGTAGTCCAGATTGAAGGAGTTTGAGATCAATCATCAATAATTGAATTGGTTAGAAGCAGGGGCGGATCTAAAAATTTTATAGTTGAGGGCACACTTAGGGTGTAGAAAAGAATTTACTTTTGTTCATATTATGTAGCAACTATTCTTATTATATTCATATTATGTTCAAAAATGTTATACAGTCCAAGTTCATATATATATGTCAATTTTTGTTCGTATTTGACACAATAGTTTATATATATATATATGTGTGTGTGTGTGTGTGTGTGTGTGTTCATATAGTTCTTACATTAACAAAAATAAATTAATAAAAATAATGAGATTTTTTGATTTTGTAACTCCCAATTAATGATATGAGAGTTACATAAAAAAAATTACCTAAATACCATTTTCCACTTTGTTCACATATGTTATTTGAAATTGTAAATTTGAAAATTTAATTTTTTATCATGATTAATCATAACTCTTTATTGTAAGAACCAATGGCCAAGATTAGTTAACAAAGTTAACACAATAAATCTTGATTAATATTTGAACCAACCTATATATATATATATATATATAATTTTACTGTTAGTTCTTTTTAAACCGAATCATTAAAGGTCATCGACCCCATTAAAAGATTGTCCGATCCCATTTGACTTTCTTTCTTTTAAAAATCCCTCTCTCCTCAAAGGCAAAATCTAGAGCTTCTTTGTGCTTCGATTTTAAGAAAAGTACTTACTTTTCAATACTAATTGTTAAAATTAGGATTTTATAAGTTTATTAGGTATTTATGCTAACATTCAACTACATGTTTATCAAATCATTGTGTGTATTAATGTTATTTTATATATTTATCAAATTATTAAGTGTTTGTATTAATGTCATTTATATGTTTATTAACAATTGAGTAATTGTCTTAATGTTATTCATATGCTTAATTATTTCCAAAAAGTTAGCTTTTGATGCCATGATATTAATATTGTGATAAATCGTTTTCAAAAAAATTAAAACTCGTAGAGAATAATTATAAATGTAACTTGTTTCTCATATCCATATATTTATTTAGTTTTAATGACATGTCGATGAGGTCAATTCTTGAGGCTCAAGAGTCACAACAAAGCTATGACATTTTTCAAAAGTCACGAATATCACAACAAACATGTGTATCACACACACACACACACACATATATATATATAGAGAGAGAGAGAGAGAGAAGTATAGGGGCTTTTTTGTGTTTTTATCCCTTCATAACATTTTCTTTCGTACTGTGTTACTCCATTTTGGTGTGTGTGCGCACGTGAGTTTAAAGAGATTTTTTTAGCAGAGAGTGAATTCAAGTGTTTTGGAAGCTTTCAAGATGGAAATCTTTCCTTCTTAACCTGAAGGTATGATTTATATTTGTTGGTCATTTGAGGGTCTACAAGATATGTATAACAGTTTATAGAAGTGGGGGGATGAATACAAACACAGTATTTTCAAATTTAAAATGTATATTGATAAAAGAAGATCAATACAAATTTTACAAGATTGTTTGCGAAAAGATAAGATAAGAAAACCTATCTAAACAATCTTTGATTACACACAGATTCTTAGCAAATAAGAAAAGATATGCTGTAAAGAAAAGTTCTTTTACTTGAGCTTCAAGAATGCTTAAAGTAAGAATTAGGTTAAGAGAGTGTGTTGCGCGCGCACTCTGCATGGAGAAGAAACACTTTTATTTATACTCAATGCATTAAATGTTCATTTAATGCAATATGGTAGGGTTAAAGTGCGTGTTTTAAGAGGAATGTTTGTCCTTTACTACAGTGAATAGTACAAAAAGCCTATTCATGAGCAGACATCCTTACTTAAAGTTGATGAGTAATAGAGTCAACTAGTCGGCTCCGTACTAACATTTAGAAAGGGTATGAGTTTGTCCTTTGTGTGCATAAGAACAAGACAACAACAATCGTGCTTGGCAAGCTTCCTTTGATCGCTGAATGCTGGAATAACCTGGAGGTCTCTTCAGTATTTGCTGAGACTTGAGCAGTCTTCACACATATGTAGACAAGCTTGTAATCACCGAGTACCGCTTCAGATCACGTACTTGCCAGTCTCTAATCTTCAGTTTCAGTCTTCGACTTTGGCTGAAGGTTCTTTGGTGTGAGTGTTGTCTTCTTGAAGTATCGTTGTCTCTGATTGAATTACAATACAAGTTCTTCAGCGATCACTGAACAGATTCGGTGATGATCGCTGGAACTGAAAATACAGAAACATAAACACATCGTATAAGTGAAAAGAGATTATCATCAAATCACTGAGAGAGATGATCAACAATCTCCCTCTATTTGATGATAACAAGACAACATAAAGAAAGTTGTCTTATCAAATAACAGTAAGAAAAAGTTATACATAAAGTACATGTCCATTTTTACTATTTTGGGATCTTTTTCAGTGAGTCAGTCTTTGCTTGAGAATTTTCCTTAAGTCATATTTAAGTGAAAATTACAAGGATGAAAACTGAAACTGAAAGCTTATTCACTGACTTATAGATTGTCAGTGAATGTAAAAAGTAACACTGTAACTCATAGACTTGTGTCTCTTTTACTTTTTTCAGAGATCTTTTTCAATGAAGTACAAGAAATACTCAGTTTATTTTCATTGGTAATATTACAAGTAGTTCAGTACATGTCTAATGCTTACAGACTAGAAGATTAATCACTGAAAGTAGACATAGTGAAATAGATTTACAAGGAAAAGTGAACAATATTACAAAGAGAAACTAATCTAGAACACTTAATTAAAAAATAAAAGTGAAGATATTACTAAATTGCCCTTTCATATTAATTAAAAAATAAAATTAATTATTTCAAATGTGTGGTCTATATTGGATCTCACGGTTATCACAAATTATTGAGTTCTCATTTGATTAGGCCCATATATATAGTCATAAGTTCATTTAAGAAGTGGTAAGTATTTGAGAAGTAGAGAAGTGATCCTAGCCCTTCATCCGGTCAAGATTTCCGGCTTTAACTGTGAAGCATGAATAATTCTTCACATAGTATGAGAAAGAATGAATGGTAGTTTTGTGACTTTTACAAATAGATGGCACAACAAGTGCATATGTGAACCAGTGTGATTTACATATGAAGTATTTAACTGATTCACATATGAACCTATATGATTCACATATGAACTAATTAGCTTATTCACATATGAACTCGTGTGATTCATATATGAACTAATAACTGATTCACATATGAATTATGAGTTCACATATGCACTTGTTTGCCACCTAACTGTAAAATCTACGAAACTACCATTTAATTTTTCATTTGACCAGTCAAAACCGCAAATCTTGACTAGTAAAAAGCCACAATATTTGACCAGTAAAAACCGTAATTCTTGACCAATATTAATTGTATGAAGGGCTAGGATCACCTCTTTACTTCTCAAATATTTACCAATTCTCAAATGAACCTATTCCTAATATATACATATATATATATATATATATATATATATATATATATATTAGAAACGTACTCGCGCAATGCAGCGAGATACATCGTGATTTTAATATTTCATTTTATTCTTTATCTCAGCTGATGTTTTAATATGACTTTATGTGATTTTGATAAAGCGATGATGTTTTTATTTTTGAATAAAATATATGTTTGAAGATATCATAAAA